CCCCCCCCCCCCCCCCCAAACAGTATCCAAAACGGTATACTTGTTATTGAGGGAAACAAGGTTAAAAAGTCAAATATTACAGTGCTTACTAAAAAATAGTAAAACAAGAAAACACAGTTAATAGTTCAACACCGTAGTCCAAAAGTGTGTGGCCCCGCCCTGGGCTGCCTGCTCTTGCCACTTTGCAGCCTGCTCCCGCTCTCGCCGCCCCGGGGATGCCTGCTCCCGCTCTCGCCGCCAGCCACCTCGGGTTACATGTTCCTGCTCTCCCTCCCCGTGCTGGCCCGATCTCCTCTGCGCTGCATAAATTCGCACCTCACATAACCTCACATAAACTAAGTAGATTAAACGAAGTAACAAAAAGTGGTGAAAGAAGAAAGAAAAAGTAATGGATGGAGCAGGTCAGCTCAGAACAGGAGCCCTCATGCTGCGCTGTGACTCTGCCGCCATCTTGAGCACAGTCCGGGAATAGTACAGCAGATTTGTGCCCTTAGCCAAGCCATTCCAGTATAACTGCAACACCGGCATTTACTTCACAACTTGGAAAATTGCCCAGGTATATCCTATACATAAAAAGCAGGACAAATCCAACCCGGTCAATTACCGCCCCAGTCTACTCTCGATCATCAGTAAAGTAATGGAAGGTGTCACCAACAGCGCTACCAAGTAGCACCTGCTCAGCGATGCCCAGTTTGGGTTCTGCCAGGGCCACCCAGCTCCTGACCTTATTACAGCCTTGGTTCAAACATGGACAAAAGAACTGCATTCCAGAGGTGAGGTGAGAGGGACAGCTCTTGATGTCAAGGCTGCATTCGACCCAGTGTGGCATCAAGGAGCTCAAACAAACTGGAGCCAGTGGGAATCAGGGGGCAAATTCTCTGCCAGTTGGAGTCATATCTGGCATTAAGAAAGATGGTCGTGGTCCTTGGAGGTCAGTCATCCCAGCTCCAGGACATCTCGGCAGGGATTCCTCAGGGTAGTGTCCTCGGTCCAACCACTTCAGCTGCTTCTTCCATGACATTCCCTCTATCGTAAGGTCAGAAATCAGATACATCCAAATGCAGCAAAACCTGCATAATATCCAGACTAGGGCTGAGAAGTGGCAAATAGTACTTGTGCCACACGGGTGACAGTCACTGACCATCACTAACAAGACAGAATCTAACAATCGCCCCTTTACATTCAGCGGCATTACTATCGCCGAATGCCCATTACAAACAAGAGGGCATAAATGTAAAATGACTATGGGGGAATTAAAGAGATAAATTGCAAAATGCTTGGCACTGAGCAGTAGAAAAATGTTAAATTTCCTGCCTCAAAAACTTGAAGCAACATTCCAAAACTTTTCAGAAGCTGATCAGATTACGATTTCAAAGATAGAAATGTTTACAGGTATGAGGACTGAAGAGAAAAACTGGGCCTTGATAAGGTCACTCATGATGAAAAATAGAAATACAGATGTAGTGGGATGGTAGAAACATGCTAATTTGTATTTTTCTGTACTTCTAAGAATGCTTATTTCCCTGCACTGAAATGAGATGAGAAAAGTGTGCTGCAAAATTCTCAGGATGCAGTGGCCCTATACAGGTAGTTCTGCTATAACATGCGTTTCGTTAATGCAAATTGGCTGTAAGGTGATTGATGAATAGTGGACACAGTTTTGATAACGTAAACTTTCTGCTGTACAGGTATAGCGATTTTCTGCAGTGATTCCCCTCTAACACGATCTTCAACAGCGCGAGGACACAGAGAATGCAACTATCTGTACCCAAGAGTACAGGCCACTTCTGTGCTTCTAAACTGCTCAGGAACTTCAGTGTTTATAACTGAAGGTAATACCAGTTGACATTGTCACCACGCTTGCACAGGAGAGGGGAAATCTGCAGAGTTGAGCAGGGTTTGAAAATGTGTCTGTTCTCATAGGTCAAAGATGGCGTATCTCCGCTGGCAGATTTGAAACGTTAATGCTTTTGTTCCTTCTTTAACTTGTTGCACGCGATATGTTGCAAACCTTTCTAGTCGGGCCATAACCGAAGTAAATGTGATGTTTATGAGCAATCAATCCAGCTGACAAAAGTGGGTATGCCATGGAATTGTTTGTCTCATTAAAATGCACATTGATACTGAAAATGTTGTGAACCACTGCCCTAAGCAACTTCTTGTTTTGGCATTTTTAATTCAAATAGGCAAACTTATATAACTTTCCTTTCTAATAAGTGTTTAATTTAGTTTTGATGAATATTAAGTTTATTAGATGATGCTGTAAAATTATTTCCACAAAATTATTTTTCCACAAATCCATATTCAAGGAAATTTTCTTGAGATTTGTACAAGATGATGGAGATTCCATCATATTAAACTAGATTTTCATTAATGACAGCAGTGTTCAAATTCCAAAGAATCATCACTCGCTCCCTGTAGCTTCACAATCACTTTATTGCCAAAGATTTCAGAACAGATTGCAAAGTGACCTCCTTATTTCAGACAGTGGTAGAATTTACACTGAAAATTGTAGGTAAGTGATAGAAACCCTTATGTTTGCAACAGGCAGAAAAAAAAAAGCAGCTGTCAAATTTTACTAGATGCTTCATTAATATATTGTTAAACATATATTTCGAAATATGCAAATGTCTCAGGACATGGGAGACAAGAGAGCTGCCTTCCTTTAGTGTCCAAGAAGGTGGGAGTACCAGTGGACAGCTTGTTTGTGTCCTTGGGCTTGACTTCCTGCCTTAAATTCATAGGCAATCTTGATAGATAGGATCATTTCTCCTGGATTTTATCAATCTTATTTTAAAATCAAATACCATGAATGGCATTTCAATTTAAGGCAAAAGTGCAGAATCTACGGGAAACCAATTTCCAGTTAATGGTTTTAACGCCACACTGAGAACTTAAAATAGATCCCAACACAGTAGTGTCTGAAATCCCAGCATGTACTGCTGAAAATGAACTGTCATTACAATGTCTGCACATGCACATTATATCCTTTCAAACATAATATGCTTTAGCTTCTGGATTTGAAAATGTTTTTGTAAATGGCACTAACATGATAAGCCTGTTCTTTTTAAACTACATCACAGCCTTCTTATGGTCAATTATATCAAGATATGATCCATCAGCACAAGCCAAATAATAAAAATAATTACATTTTAGAACAATGTAAATGCAATTCAATTTTTCTGGTAATTAACTTTTTTTCCTAAGGAAGTGGATTATAGTCTGTTGACTATAGGAAGGAAGATGAAATTTACTGAAGGTAGATGAAATTCATTGTCAGGGCACCAAACTCAAAAGCTTCACTTCTTTCTTATTTTATGAGTTGCCTGGGCCAATGTTAATCTCCCTAAAAACCAAATTAAATTACCAAGAGATTAAAAGCCCGAATGTTTGCAATCGTCAGTCATTTTGCTGTTCCACCATGTTCAATGGCAGCAAGCAGGAAATCGTAGCAGATATTCATATTGTTCAATAGGCACCGCACAATCAGCCTGATAATTTTTTCCCAGTCATTATGCTCTATTGTTAACTTGGTCCTTTAGCCTAAGACAGATTTCATCTGCAAGAATTAGAAGCAGGAGCAAGCCATTTGCTCTGCCATTTGATAACATCGAACTGAGGGCTCAACCCCACTTTCTTGCCTGTCACCCTCCACTATTCAATCTTATTCTGGTACTTCAATAATCTTCAGCATGGAGTCTACTTGAAAAATCCAAAAAATAAGAACAGCCATGTTCAAGACTCAAGATTAAAGATTAAATCCGAAATAATCATGGTACTATCATGTTTAATTCTATCAAATGATCCAGCACAAATCATTAACAAATTCACAGCTTTGAAATAAAAACAACATTAAATGATAAAACGTACGTGCATTAGTGTACAAAACTGTCCAGGTCTTACTTACCCTAGAGTTCAGTAATGTGAAAAGTACGTGGTCAGGAGTAGTTTGAGCACGCCATTGTAAAACTTCAGCAAGAAACATAAACTGAAATGAAAGCATAACCATTATGAGCTTAAAGAGTGTGATCCTGATTGTGTAGCAAATGACTCCATTTCGATGCAAAACTCTTATGTGATTTATTGTACAAATAAGTGAAAATTCTCAGCCAAGGCAGAAGTTAAATCCATGGGCACTATGTCTGCTGCTCACCCTGCCTTCACTGTAACATTACCAGCAGTGGGATGGGCATCAAGTGGATCACCTCTGCATGGGCCATTTGAGGCCTTAATAGAATCAAAGAATTGTTACAGTGCAGAGAAGACCATTCAGCCCATCGTATCTGCATCAACTCTTCAAACAAGCATTATTACCTACTGCAAATTTCCTGTCTTTTCCCCATACCATCATACATTAATTCTATCCAAATAATCATCCCATGTGCTTTTCAATACCTTAATTGAACCTCCCTCCAACACATTTCCAGGTGGTGCATTCCACACCCTATTGACTTGCTGTGCGAAAAGTTTTTCTCTCTTTCATCATCCTTGCTTCGCTTGCACATTTGAATCTATGCCTTCTCACTCTTGTTCCTTTTACAAGCAGGAACAGCCTTTCCCTATCTACTCTGTCCAGCCCAGTCAGGATTTTGAAAACCTTCATCGGATCTCATCTTAGCCTTCTTCTCTCCAAGGAGGACCATTCCCAACTTCTTCAACCTATCCTCATAATGTCTCATTCCTGGAAACATTCTTGTAAATCGTTTTTGTGCCCTCACTAATGCATTCACCTGTTTCCTATAACGTGGCACCCAGAAGTATACACAATACTCCAGCTGAAGACTAACAAGTGTCATTTACAGGTTTAATATCAAATCTCTGCTCTTGTACTTTATGCCCTTATTAACAAAGCAGAGGACGCTGTGTGCTTTATTAACTGCTGTTTCCATCTGTCCTACACCTTCAATGATCAGTGCACATATCCAAGCAGGTTCCTCTGCTCCTGCACCCATTTAGAATTGTACTCCCTTAACTGGCCCCTTAAGATTAATTAGGCAATAAATATCCACTTAAGGCTCCCAGGATTTAATCAGTAATGAGAGAGGCGCACGCCAAACAAAAGCCTTACATGTTTAGTGGGGTGTTGGAAAATTTGAGAATTGTTGATGGGATCCTCTCTGAGCTCATTATCACTCATCTGAAGACCATTAAATTCAGCCCTAAATTTCTAACCTCAATCAGACAGGCTTAGAGATTACTATAGAAACTGAAAATCTCTGGCACATCTATTTTGTTTTGCTTGAGCCTAATAAATAGATTTTAATTCTGAAAGCTGAAAAGAAAGATACAATTTAGTGAAGAGTAGGCATCAGTGCCCCAGCACTGTCTTCGACCGGTGAGGTACAGGGAAAGAAACAGTCAAGTTTAGAAATTTCTTCTTCACCTCATTTGATGTTTTGACTAACCAAACCTACTGGTGCCGCAACGCAGCAGATTTCTTAAAATAAAAGAATAAAACAGAGTGAAGGAGAGGGAAATAATGCAAACAAACGTCATGAGTGGAGAGGAACTAGTTTCTCATTCAGTTGCTTGAGACCGTGATCTCTTCAGCCCTGTCATCCCTTTCTTTAAATCACTCACTCCTGTCCATCTCTCAAACTTTTCCACACATCCAGTGGCTCCCCTGCTCCACTCAAGTAACTACATTTGTTCTGTTAATGCTCATTATAGATTTCAATACTCATTTGATTCATGTGGCCATTTCATCAATGTTCACAAGATCTCAAAGCACAAAAAGAAGGTAAAAACAAAAGTTTGATTCTTATTTTAGGACAGAAATGAACAAAGTATCATCCCTGGCAGAGATAATTTTCAGAATAAGTCAAATTTAATTAGAAAGGAATGATTTCCAAATTCAACTGGGATTTTTGTTGATATGCTGCACTAACCACCAAAGTGACATCTTCATATCACAGCCAATCACCTGGAGGCTTAACACGTGTCCAAATGCCTGGATGAAGCACTGGTGACATTCATCAATGGACTCAAATGTTTGGGGGGGGGGTGATCAAGGGATGGTTATTTCAACATCATACCAAGTGCTGGATGATGGAGTTAGTAAAGTTTTGACTCAAAACCTGCCAAGTGGGGAGTCCAGAAATATTGATGTTATGTGCTGGAGTCACTTGACTAACTGCCTATCCCAAAAGAAATACGCTGCAAATGTCCCCACAGCCCCTTCATTAGGAAAGTGGAATTTGTTGAAACAGTTTTACAGTATTCCGACTCGAAAGGTCTCACTTCCTCATGGCTGAATTCCTGGTCTTTGCTCCAAAACAAGATCACAGGAATAGCCAGTCAGAAAAGCTGCAAATCTTTTGGCTTCAGATTTGTTTCAAGCATGCATTAGTATGAAAATGTCTGTAATTTGGTCAAGTTCCATCTTAATCTTCCTTCAGGGCTAGTGGCGGGATCAGCCCATGAGCTATAAAGTGGGCGCTGATGCTGCGTTAGCTGTACCCAGGGCCAATCTTGCTGATGAACTGGCTGTTGCCAGAATGGTCATGCCTACTAAAGATGGCGTCTGGCCCCCCCGAGAGCTCAGGAGGCTCAGAAGGCCGACAGCTCAGCAGCTCCATCAGGAGTGGTGGCCACTTGTGGGGCTGCACCTATTGCATGAAGGTGCACAAACAGATGATGTAGACCCTCCCAAACATGTCAGGGGAGTCTGGGAGTGTCAGGGCTAGTCAGTCAGGTCCCTACAAGACAGGGAACGGTGTTGGATGGCGAGGATAGGCAATGCATTTGCCACTGACGTGGGCGTTGTCACCAGGGCTTCATTTGTGCACAAAGGAGTGCCCAAAATAAAGAAGCCGTCCTCGCATCAGAATCCACTGAAAGGTTGCCTGAGTTCATCTGACAGTCTCGGCAAACCAGGTACACACATTTCCCACACCTCCACCCCACTCCAATCAGCACTGTCACCAGTAGAAGCGGGAAGAAGCCCTTAATTAGTTCATTAAATGGCTCAATTGGCATCTGTGAAGGAGGACAGACTATCAACACCGGACCATGCCAGTGGGAAAATACCAGGCACATCACCTCTCACCTTACTATGGATTTTTACAGGTCATACCAGTTCCTAGCCCACCCACAGGGGTCTGGTAACACCCAGCCCACAGAACTACATGGTTTGCCACAGGCTAGTCTGTTCACAGTGTGCTGGAACTCAGTAATACTCACCTTTCTACCCTGGTCATTGTCTTCAATTTGTCCTAAATCCCTTCCACTAGCTTGGGCAATCCTCTTTCCTGAAACCAGATTTCCAACCATAACAGAAGCAGGACCAATCTCTGTCGAGAGCAGAAAATTCCACAAGTAAGTTTCAGTAAATCATAACCATCAAGAAGACAATCAGGTTATAAACTGCACTCTTCCTCTCTTTGATTCTGACGTTAATCTTCTAAGGTAGCTTACTTTTTTTTGTTGGTTGATTTGACATACAGACACATTAAAAAGACAAATCTTCAAAATTGCTCACTTACTTCAACTTGCCGTTTCAAAGTTATATTATTTCAAACTCAAAAAGTAAACAAATCGAAAGTAAGAAGGTAATCTCCAATGAACTTTAGAGCGTGAATTATATTTCAGGATATTCCTTGAGTTTAGTTATTCAGATATTTACACTGCATTTCTCAACATTGGGTCTCTGTAAGGAGAAAACCCTTACCTGGTTGCTTCTGCCTTGGCTTGGGCAGGTTCGTTACACAAGTGTGCGGACACATTAGCACATTGCATGGGTGGAGGGAACCTTCTAAGAAGCACTGTTTGGTTTCTGAGAGGTGTATGCCTCCAAGGGGAGTTTTTGGAAGAGTATTAGCAGGTACGAGAGCCAAACAGTAAACCCCTACTTGATGAATACCATCAATGGCCTTTAGAAAAAAATAGATTGTTTGAAAGGTCAAATATATATTTGTTCACACAACTATCATGCACATTATCATACATCCATTGCTATGTTAATTTTTTTTCCCAGAGACAGGTATGTTCATCTATTTATGATAAAAATCTGCATTAACACATATTGAATGAATTCGGTACATAAAATGATGAAGAGAATGCATGTGACATACAATTGTACTTTCATACAAAATTCTTATTAAAATTGTCCCTATTTTGGTTTATTTGTACGTTAGCATTTCACACATGCTTAACAACGTCCATCAGATTAAAAATACATACAAAGTTTCTAGGTCAACAGTTTCAAAACTCCTAACTTCAATAAATTATGGAGTTAAAACTTATGGCAAATTTCAAGATCCTAATCATAATGGACAATTCTAGTGTATTTGGTGATTTTAAAGGATTCTGAGATGAGCACTGGCCAATTTTAACTAAGATTTTTTTAAACTCATCCCTAATCTCCATCCCAAAACAGAAGTGATATTTATCAAAACAAAGATAGCTCCATACTTTTGGTGAAGTCTTTACCAGTACAAATCCAAGGAGAAATATCCAAGAAAAATCAAATGAAAAAAATAAGAATTCCCAGCACTAAGCAATGGGAAAGTTTTGCCAGCCTGTTTTCAAAGTATTCTACTCAGTACATGATCTGATAGATGAGCAACACTGTGTAAAATAGTACTGTGTAAAGAGGTTACAAGCTTCTGTGAAAGCACAAGTCTATCTTCAATTTTCTCCTCTTTCCTCTACTTATCTGAAGGCATTAATTCAATTTCCCAGAGAATTCTATGCGTACCAGCAATAGTTGAAGTACTTTGCCTAAATGGCCAATTTTGAATTATGCATTAGGGAGTGTTATTGGGTAATGCATTCATAGGTGCCATAAGAGACAATCCCAATTCTGTTTTCAGCCAATGTTCTACCCTCATAGGTTCTTCAAAGATCATTAGACGGGATAATAAACTTTATACCATACGCACAATGTCCAACTAATAACAGGGCTCTCAATTGAATGTCAAAATTTCAGTGACCTTTTTTCCACATTTCAATCAAGTGCACTCCCGCTGATCATTCTTCTTTACCTGAAGGACTCTACTCATCCACTGAAAGCTATCTTCCTCAGTAGAATCTGGTCTCTGTTCAGCAATGATTACGATCCTCTCATCATGCAAAACATTTATAGAAAACACAGCTATTCTGTTAACAGACAGAGATCAGAATCAAAATAAACTATAAGCTTGAAAAGATATCACACAGTACTGTTACTTTATATTCTGCAATCCAACTACAAAATTACTGAACTTCAGAACAAGCTTCCATTCATTTTAGCTATCAGTCCTTCTATTTATTGCAATTGCATACTAATTTTTCAAGGTTAACACACCTTAGATGGTCAAAGTTAACTTAAATTTGTACGAATTAATATGCAAATTTCACATTTCTCACACTTGGCCTTAAAGCAAATTATCCTATTTTAATCGTGCTAACAATCAAATTAATTAATAAGTACTGAGAATCATTGCCTCTTTATCTGAGCTCCCTGCTATATTTTTCCTCCTTTTAACAATTGATGTCTTGAACTCTTACAGTTGATAACACAAGCTTGTTTAATGTCAAAATATTCTATAGGTGCAAGATATGTCCACTTTCCGAATGATGTATCTGTCGTGCATTAATGCTTAAATATACAATTTGAATAAAATTTTATTAATTTAGCTTTATCGTTCATGATTTTGTTCTTTCACAATGGTGTGAAAGCAATATTTTGATCAGATGTGTGTAGCAGACAATACACAGAATAATGAATGCCTAGTGAGAGTTAAGCACAGTTAGCCGAATCGAAAAGATTGAACGGAACCATGAGAGTGAAGCATAAAGTTGGCATGTAATGATTTCCAAACTCAGAGAAATAATCAGCAATTGAAATAACACATCTTTGATATCTTTCCAACTACAATAGGTCAATGTAGACAGTACCAAATCAATGCCAATTTTAAACGAGTATGACTGTTATAAAGTAGCAAACCTGCCATGCCACAGCTGATACGTATTATGGCTCATCTACCCCGATACTGAGCACCAAACCTTTCAGGCAACTCTTCAAATACTCCCCCCATTAAAGTATAAGTAACTGTATCCATGAGTAAATATGACAGTGCTAAATTTCTAAATTCAGGCTACTGGCCAATGATCATCTTTCTTTCCATTGACATACTGCATCTGTAATAAAGTGCCTGCTTTGAAATGGAAGCCTAGAGTGAGATTGATGAATGTCAGATTTTAAAAATAGCAAAAAGGTTGATTGAGCATAAGTTGAAAACCTTGGTAACGAATAATTGAAAATTGCATGCACTATTAACTTTGGAGTTTCTGGCTTTTGTCCAAGCCAACTGCAGACACAAACCTTCCTCTGTAGACAAACTTCATTGGTTCCACTGCAAGCGCTGTTGCCACGATGTCATCTGCATTGTGTCGCCGCCCACTGACCACCATCAGGCCATCCATTTTCCCCACAACAAAGACCATTCCACCAGGGCCAACAAAACCCAAGAGTCCAGTCCTGACAAATGGATATTCACTGATAGGAGCTCCTGAGCTCATCATCGGGAACATCTTAAGGCAGAGTTAATGTGAGAAAAAGTAAAGTCCAAGTTACTTACATAGTTAATCTCTAAAGCTATAAAGGACATTATACAATGAAACATCTATCTTTAATAGGAACTATTTATCATTTGTCAGTTATAGTTGAAACAGGTCCATTTCTTGATTTAAAAACTGTGATGTTATTGCAAACTTGAGCCAATTTGTTTGGCATTTGAGTGTACACTCTCCAGTCAATGACTGTGCAAATTACAGGTCAGGGATAGCTGTCAACAGGTGCTTGACACCTTTTACACCATGTACACAAGACAACCTACTTGGGAAATGCCCTGTTGAGATGTTTTCTCTTTCTCACACGGAAAGTATTTAACAACTTGCCCCTTGCAAACAAGGGCCTCAATTGTTTACTTGATGAAATCTATGACTTAAAAGTTGATTCCCCCCCAAAAGCAAGAGATGTTGCAAATTCTTTGCAATCTACGAGAAATAGCACAGATGTGTTGTGACTTCTTTGTGGAGCAAAGGCACTGAATGCACATCCAACAAGGGTCAGTTCCTGAGATGGCTGTTACATTAATGCAAACTATCTGCCTCTCTAAGCCCTTAAGAACTTGGCTTCCATGTACAAGTCGAGAAGTACCCTGTAATCTCCAAAGAAATTCCAATTATGGTGCTTTTGGTTGCTGCAATGAGATTACAGCTGAAAGGAAGGCGCTTACAAGAAAATTTACGAAAAAATGTAAGTATTGAAATGGAAACAGAGACTAGATGAAATAGCCGCAAAAGTGGCTGTCAACCTTTCTTTTTCCATTTATTCCCTTCATTTTCGATTCTGAATTGCTTTCAAGAAAATAGTAACTAAAATGAAAAGGAACACAGCATGATGCCAGGAAATTGTATCCAGAAAGTAATATGTCTGACTGGAGTTTCTGCTAGTCGGCTCTGTTTTTTTCAAATAAAATTTTCCAAAACTGGGCCAAACCAGTGCAAAATAATTTTGATTTAAATTTATATTCAGTCGAGACCATGTTTCAGGACTTTTGGTGCTTGTTTAAAGTGATGACTTGCTAGAACTTGGCCCCCTCCACTGCATCAGCTAAACCTCCAAATCAAATAAACCACTATTGCAAGCTTCTACTGTTTTTGTTATTGCTGTTTGAGGAAACTCCAAAAATCAAGCCTTCTTGTGGTGCGAGGACATTGATAGGTATGTTTTAAAATGTTCTCAATAACCGAATCAAACACTGCACATCACTCTATATAGGGAAGATTCTGCATAATTATAAGTTATGTACAGTGTTTAAAATTAAGTTTCTCAGATGGTGGACTAGATAGAGATTAAAAATGGTTATTATTTTCTGATAAACCCATTTTTAGTTTTATTAATCAAACCACATACAGACACAACTCTAGAAAAAAATCAAGAAGCAATTTTAAAAACAAATTTGTTTTAAAAAGTTACATTCTCAACGGCTACCCAATTGTATTGTCTCATGGCAAATTTTACACTTAGCAATGTATGAATTAGTTTGAGCAGGAGCCCAATAAGAAATTCTCAAAACCAAATTCAGACATAATTTATGCCTAACCATAGATGGCAACTCTCTCCCCTTGTTTGTAAGGAATCTATTACAGCAGCCCAGACCAAACATATGTCATAGCAGTATTTCAGTCCAGACTACAATATAAGCTGCTGAATAAAACATCAAGATTCATATTTGAATAAGATTTTTGCTTTTTCAATTTATAAATTGCTTGTTGTTACGTAAATGATGAAATTATTAAAATTGTTAATTCTCAGGTCATTTTGGAGTTTAATTAATCAGGGCACTGGTGAACTGACTATTGTTTATTTTCTGCTGAGATAAAGAGGGGAGATTCAAACTTGTTGACTTACTTTGGTCAATATATTAGGAAACAAGAATATTTTGAGGCAGGAGGTGGGACAATGACAAAATTAGTTGAATGCTGAGATGGAAAACATGTTAATATTTATGTTTTGACAGAAAAGATCCTCTTTGCTGGAGATAGTAGGAACTGCAGATGCTGGAGAATCTGAGACAACAAGGTGCAGAGCTGGATGAACACAGCAGGCCAAGCAGCATCATAGGAGCAGAAAGGCTGA